CACACAGTCACCTTCGTTGTCATACCCACCAGGAAGCAGGTGGTGGATGGCCTAGATATGACCATTGTAAAATCATCACAATAAAAAACATAAGCAGCAACACCACAGTGTTTCAGAGACAACAGAAAATTGTAGTTCACATTCCGCCCCGCCCCCCCCCCCAAAAAAAAAAAGATGGACTCAAACAAGTGACCACGATGCAGAGCTGGCAGACTTTTCTCAGGATGAGAAGGCATCGGAAGTACCTGATAAGGCCTCCAAGCACAACGAAATCGTTGATAGCTGCAGTGTCCTCTCTGTTTATCTCGGTGGTACTGATGGGCCCTGTTGAAGGATTTCCATTTTCTTTACCTTGAGCTGTAGTGCATTTTGAAGGTACAGTCTGTCTTCTCTATCAGCAAGTGCATCTGGTCCTCTTCACTGTCAGCACGCGGGGCTGTGTCCTTGGCATATTCCCAGTTGTTGATGAGTCTTTCCCCAATCCTGATGCATGTTCTTCAGGTAGGCCAGCTTCTTGGACTGTCACCCAGCACACAGATGGGATAAGTATGGTGAAAGGCTGTCAAACCACAAAGTATCTCCTTATTCTTGGTCTGTGTACAGGTGCAATAGGAGCACAATGAAGTGTTCTGGAATTCTCATTCTTTGCGATGTTATCCATAACAGCTCACACAAATGAATGTTTTTTCATAGTCAACAAAACACAGGTCAACACCTTTCCCGTATTCTCTGCTTTCACCAAAGTCCTGTCTGACATCAGCAATGATACAGCTCATTTCCCGACATCTGAATCTAGCTTGGATTTCCAGCAGTTCCCTATGGATGTACTGCTGCAACCGTTTTTGAATTATCCCCAGCAAAAGATGCTAGGGTACAAATACTCGGATCCAGGTACCTTCCTAAGGCGACAGCTTAATGTCAAAAGGTGATGTCATGCGAACAAGAGGTCAACATCGAGAAGAGGACCTTTTCCTATGGTGTCTCTTGGTTATAAAATCAAATGATGGCACGCTGTAGACATTTTGGCTTTAATGTCCTGATTACATTAGGACTCCAGGAATCCCGCTCCCAACCATGAGTTCCCATCCCATGTGTATTCCATGTGCTGGTGTACGTTTCCTATTGCACGTTGTTACATCTGGCAAGCAGCTGTTGTCATCTACGTGGTGATGGGTGTCCGTCAGTGATCTGCATGAGGCGCAGGCTCATCTGGGACCTTGGGAATCCGAGGGCATGAAAGACTGGAAGGACATGGGAGGGTGGACAGACATTTCGTATTCAGTCATTTTTTAAAAAGCGTCTTCTCTTTTTTTTGGCCCAAGTAATACATGTGATTAACTTAGAACTACAACCCTTTCTCTAGCACCCACTCTGAGTTCTACTCTCCAGGGGAAACCAATTTCAGGCTCCCACTGATTGCTCTTATATTTACATCTCTTTAAGAAAAAGTAGTAACTCGTTGCTGAGAATATGCACAGCAAAACAAAGCAAAGCAAAACAAAAACCACCCATTCAAGTTTCTACATGCACAATTCAGTGACATTGACAGTCATGAGTCGTGCCAGGGCAATGCCATGAATTATATGGCTTTTGTAGCCATTGTCTTTGTTACTCCCAACAAGCAGCCTTTGTTTTCCTGACATGCTGGGAAAGAAAGTGAGGGAACATGCTAGCGGGATTACAGGACTCATCTGTGAGTGATTGTTCATAGGGTTAAGGGTGCCCTCCTGTTGGGTATAAAAGCGAGTCATTTCAGAAGCAGGAAAGAGGGATCTCACTACCAGCAAGTGTGAAGATCCAGGAGTGGAACAGATGCTTTGGACACCCAAATCCTTGCCCATTGAACTTCCTTGACCCAGGAGACAACCTGGACACCAGAGAAGCAGCGGAGGAACCGCAGCAGCAGAACCCGGAGCCCTGGAGCGAGAGAGAGAGTGGTGGACTTCCCAGACCACAGGGCAGCTACAGCTGAGTGCTTTTGGACAGGAGGTTGGCTTGTGCATTGGAGTACTTTTGAGGTGCTTAACTGAGGAAGCTGGGCTTGTTGACCACGGGGTAGAATTGAGTGCCTTTGACGTAAGGCTTATAGTAGCGTGGAGTGGCATGCCCTTTGGGCATTTGATAGCAGCCCCCATCGAGCTTTTTAGCCTTGCCCAACCAAGCAGGGCAGAGACCAGGCCAAGAGGCTGAGGGCCAGAGAGTGGCGTGCCTGCTGGCATGGCAGAGAAGAAACAAGTGTATCATGAGCATTTCTTATTTGAATTGTAGCCCTTTAACTTCTCTAATAAACCCCATGATCGTGAGTGAGCACTGTTTGTGAGTTGTGTGTGGCCACTGCAATGAATCGTCAAACCCAAGTGAGAAGTAGCGTGTCAGAATGGGTGAGGAAGGTTGGAGGGTGGGGACGTCCACCCGAAGGTAGCCAGCCTCTGGAGCTGAGGATTTGGCCCTCAGCAAGCATTCTCCGCCATTGCCATAAAAATCGCTGCCCCCTGAGATTCCTATTGAAATTTCAAGTGGCTGTTGTCATTTGATCCCTTACAGACCTTGAAAGAACATAATAATGCTCAAGGCAAGAAAGCTATCTCATATAAATTGAATGATATGAAATGTGAACTATTATATCTGGCTTAGTTCACCTGGTGGCACTGTAAGATAAGCATTGGGCTGCTAACGGCAAGGTTGGCGGTTCAAACCCACCAGACACAGACAGATGCTGTGTCTGCATCCACAAAGATGTACAGTGCTACAAACCCTGTATAGGGTCATTGTGAGTCCAGATCAACTTCATGGCAGTGGGTTTGGTGTTGATATTCCACTTAGCAGATTATTTCCCAGCTGTAGAGTACGGAAAGACAAGGCTGTCTCTTTGAGGACTAAGGCACACCTGACCCAAGCCATGGTATTTGTAATCGCCCCATATGCACGTGAAAGTCGGGCAGTGAATGAGGAAGACTGAAGAACAATCCATGCATTTGAATTGTGCTTGAGAAGAATATTGGAAGTATCATGGACTGCCAAAAGAACCGACCAGTCTGTCTTGGAAGAAGTACAGCCGGAATGCTCCTTCCAGGCCAGGATGGCGAGACTTCATCTCCACAAACTTTGGACATGTCAGGAGAGACCAGCCCTGGAGGAGGACATCCTGCGTGGTGAAGTAGTGGGGCATTGCAAAAGAAGATGACCTCTGGCGAGGTGGGCGCAGTGGCGCATCAATGCGCTCCAAGATCAGAGCGATTGGCGACGGCACACGACCGGGTGCTTTTTGTTCTCTCGTACATGGGCTCCTATGAACCGGAACCTACGCCGTGGCTCTAACTTACATGCTGGATAGCTTTGTGAGGAACTCCACCGTTACTTTTAAAACTTTATGTACGGATTGTGATAAGAGTTGCACGAGCCCCCAATAAAATGAGTTTTAAAAAATCTATAGACTAAATTAAAAGGTAGGTACACTGAAATCACCTGCCTGGAATGACATATTGTGAGAATTCCCCTCTATTGTCAATGTTCAGAAATGATCTGCCTCACGGTGGCAACTTCTTTCTCTCATTGTTTTGTTTTAAATTCGTTGTGATCAGGCCCTTTTGCCTGTGAACCCCGCGTCGTTCCGTTTTGTTCTGAGAACTTTTCTTCCTAGGATAGTTTTCTTCCGTATTCTGTGCTTGCTTTTTTGGAAGCACAGGGTAGGTGGAAGGTAGACCTGCCTGGATTCCCTCATCTTTTCTATCTTGTTTTCATGTGGGTTTTTTTTGTTTCTCACCCTGGAATATTTCATCATTTTTATCCTACAATCCTACTCCCTTAAAAAAAAACACCTTTCAGCTATCTTGTTTCAATATCCATGCATGCGTTTTTTTCTGCTCTGATTGTTTTAAGTAAAAAGTAACAATTCGTGGTTCATAGATGAAACACCTAATCACTCTGAGGATATCATTTGTTTTCTTGTTCTTCAGCGACTCCTGTTGTGTCTGTTTCCTCTTTGTTCGTTTTTTTCAATTGTTCACTTTGGTTTCTGTTGTCCATGTGGAAGATGCTGTTGAGATGTTTGTGACCTAGGGTCTGTTCTTCATGCTTAGGAGGGGCCCCTGGAAGAACCGATGGGAAGGCCTTTGTGTGGGGCGCAGCTCCGTGCCCTGAGGGCTTCCCTCTCCAGTGATGGGCAGCAGGCTGCCAACATTTGGGGAACTGGAGGGCTCATCCCTCAGCGTCTAGATTTAATCAGTATTTTCCTCTCAGCTGTGCCAGTGTTTCCATGTCGGGAGCGTTGGTCTTTTCAGAGTCAAACTCTTTGCCAGCGTGAGGGACCAGGAGGGGTCGCCTGGCTGAGGGGCTGAAGGGGGGGGGCGTCTTAGAGGGAGGGGCTGTGGATTGGTACCTCCTGTCTTCAATCCTACCTCTCCTCTTACCACACAGGGGACTGGTGAGATGCACTGCCAAGCTTTTGTGGAGTTCAGCAGTTTGCACTTGTGTGCTGCCTTTGAACCCCCCAGCCCCAGCCCTCTCGGCCCCCTAGCTGCTTCGCTTTCAGCTCCCTTCTCATTTGTTGTCACGCCTCTAGCCCCTGCCAGCCTTTCCGAGTGATGTGAGCATTGCTCAACAGGCAGCGCAGCTTCTCCCATCTCCCCGTCTGTCTCGTCGACTTACAGTGTTTTCTGTTTATCCAAAGCCCTTGGGATGGGTTTCCGGAGGCAGAAGGCACATGCGTGTGTTTAGCCTGCCATGTTTAAACATTTAAAAAAATGGTTTTAAATTGGAAAAAAACAACCACGTTTCTTTTTCAAGGGTATCCAAGCCAACCCTGTAATTATAGGGCATCCGTACAGGATCACTCTGCAGAGGGCTGGACTTCAAGCATTTGCTTGACTCTTGGATTGGGAATGGCATAAGCCACGTCCTCTTTGAGTTTGGGCTTCTTGCTGATGTCGAGGACGGGGCCCACCTCATGCCTCACTGTTCCTAGATCCTTCTCTCACCCGAAGCCCTTTGCTTTCCTGCAGAAATGGAGCAGTGTGAGCAACCCGCTCTTCCTTCCACTGATCCCCCCCCAGTCGCAGGGCTTCACTGCCATCGTCCTCACCTATGACCGAGTGGAGAGCCTCTTCCGGGTCATCACCGAAGTATCCAAGGTGCCCAGTCTCTCCAAGCTGCTCGTTGTCTGGAATAATCAGAATAAGAACCCTCCGGAAGGTGAGTCGATGTGATGAGGAGAGGGGTATCCAGGCCGGCTGTCTGGGGCTTTGGGAATAGCTCTCTCTCTCAGCTGGATTGATTCGAGGGGGGATCAGACTGTTTGCATCCTGTGTTTCAGATGGATTGTCCTGTGTTCCCACTAAACTGTCCTTTGAGACAGCACGGCCCCAATTTTCTCAATCGTTTCATTCATGTTCTACGGTGGCCCATGTAACTCCAAGCCCCTGACATGCTCCGTAGCCACTAGTGTTTGGGGGCTGTGGAATTGCAGGATCAAAGGCCAACAGGTTTGGGAAAACAGAGGTTGGGCTTCCCCTGTCATCACAGCTACTCTGTTTACATGAAAACTCAGTTTAAAGACATTACTTTTCTCCCCCTTATCTCTGCTGTGATACTGTGCTCGCCTTCAAAGGCAGGGCTGGCCTCACCTCTGACTGGGGAAGTCCGCTAAGCGTACCCTCTCCCCTCTCCCTTCTTGGGGCCTCCAGTCCCATCCTGAAAGGGGGTGAGCAGCACACTCCCCTGGGCGCTCCCTCACTCAGTCTGCCCCTGTCATCTGCTGACGGGCAGCTTGGGTAGAGGACTAGTTGATTAATTGGATTTGTTTTTAATTCGGGGCCCCTGAGAGTATGTTCCACCTGCATTTAGCTTCTCATTCGGCCTGTCTATTCCTGATCCTAATCCCAGGGACTTCAAAGCTTCTGCCATTTATAGCCTATTAAAGCCAGGAAGTTTCTGATGGATTAGAGAGTGGAATGGGTTTGAAGTCCGTAATGTGCACCACTGTCACTGATAAGGGCTGCTTTCCTGCCGACAGTAGGATCGGCTACTTTTTATGGCTGTTCCCTTTTAATTGGCTGCATTGAACCCGGCCGACTACCAGGAGACGACCCCCCTAGTCTGCGAGGCGAGCAGAAGACCGTATTTTTGGCGGTGTTAGAGTGACTCGGAATTTGCCTCAGGAGAATCCTTTCGCTCTTACTGCGATATTTAGATTTTTTCCCCTTAGTTAAGTTTTTCTTCTCTGAGTAACGCGTGTACTTTCTTTTTCCAATTCCGGAGCCACAGTTGGAGTAAACAACAAGTGGTGGTGAAGGAGCCTTCTCCATTATTCCCTAAAGTTTAAAAGAATGAGCTCTCAGGAAGCCACGTTGTAGCTTCCTCTCGGCACTGTAAGAAGGCCCCTGTTTCCTGGTATTTGGGGTTTGTTTGTTTGTTTTTGTTTTAAGATTACAGTAAGTATTTAAAGTAACCCATTTGCTGTCCAGAATCGGTTTCAAATTACACATTTCAGGTTTAACCAACTTCATGGAAGTGCTTTGAGGACAGCCGCACCCACAGATTTCCATGATATTTGCTGGCCGGTTCTTCTCTCTCTTCTTTTTCTCTCATAGCCTCTCTCAAATGTGATTCCAGGTAGAATCTAGCCGAGTATTCTGTCCACTGCTCTTTGAGCAAGATCTGTTGCCTCCTGATCAGGTCCAGGGCTCTCGGAGTGAAGCACGCAGTCCTTAGGAAGGGTTTCAGGAAGCCAACTTCTGGCTTCTTGTACAGCTTCATCCCTGTGTATTGTGTCATCTCGCATTAGCCTGAGTTTATTGACCCTGCAGCAGGGCTCTCCCGTTTTCAAATGAGGCTGCAATGGTGGGCCTGCCGGCCACTTGGACGTGGGGTTTGCTTCTGTTTGTTTAATTCTGAGTAGAGGAAAAGAGGAAGATGAAGGGCGGAGAACATGGCAGAAAGGCAGGAACAGTGCGCTGTGTGGAGGGGGACTGGGTTTAGCCTCGGACAGTTGACTTGGCGTCATCTCCTTTCCCCAGAGGACCCCACGGGGGCAGCTCTCCTCCGTACCCTGCCCTGTCAGTCTGCCCTGAGTGGGAACGACGGGGTGACAGTGAGTTTGGGTTTGGACGTGGCTACTTGGCCTCCCTTATTGATGAGCCGTGTGGTTTTAAGAAGGTAGTGGTACAGCACTCAGGGCTTCTGGTATGGTCTGAGGCGTTTTTGTGGCCTTCACAGTCCAGCATGTGTGCGTGCGTTCTGAGAGCACTGGCTTTCAGAGTGAGGTTCAGGAGCCAGCGCAGATGGAGTGCCAAACACAAGAGAAACCATCTCTGTAACCTTCTTAGCCACTGGAGCTAAAGGTGAATGGTTTATTGTGAATTCCAGTCACTTGATTTGGTCCAGGATCGTTACCAACTGCGAGGAAGGTTCTAGAAGTCTCTGTGTTCCTGCTCAGGCTCCGTCCTCCCCAACATTAGCCTGACTGGAAGGCAGTAAGTAGCGCAAGCCTGTTTACCACAGAGCTGGGTGTTGTTTACATTTTGGGGTAGGACCCTCTGAAAAGGTAGTAAGTAGTCCATTTTATGACCAAGAGTTCAGTTTATTTTTGAAAGACTTTTGGCTCTCGAGGGGAAAGCGAGCCCCCAACCGATGACGCTCTAATTTTGACACGTTTGGAGACTGACCCAGCTTCCCCCCACCCCCTATTCCCGTGGTTTGTAGGCCAGCGCGCGGGCTCCGGCGACGTGGCTGTTGGGGGAGAACAGGAACCAGGGGCATCTTCTGTGGGTGTTTGTGCAGTTGGGAAATGGGGGCTGTCAGCTCCAGGCCTCCTGCCAGCAGACGCATCTGATTTTTCACGTTCAACGTTCATAACCTATATTAAAAAGAAGCCAGTCCAAAGCTTTGATATATTAGAGGCGAAAGTGATGTTTTTCACTTTCTCTGCATTTACTAAAATAAATATTGTGGTTCACATGTCTGCAGCTGGGAATATTAGTAGAGGCAGCAGTAGCCACACACCCCCCTTCCCCTTCCCTGACCTACCCCCTCCCCACCTTTTTCTTTTCCCTCTCCAACCCAACCAAACACTTTTTTCTTCGGGTTGCATGTTAAGTCTTAATTGCTGGGTTTGAAGTTAAGTAAATACTTAGACTAGGCACCAGGCATTCCCAGTGAGCTTTCATCACATGGGTTTTGCGTTCTGTCGGAAGAAAAAGCAGGCCGCTTTTCTCCCCTTTCCCCAACTCCGTCCCGAACCTGATGGATGGAGAGGTTGTTTGGCTTGGATGTTGGCCTCAGTGGGGGAGTGGAGGTGAGGGGGGGGGGGGGGGGGGGGGGGGGGGGGGGGGGTGTTGGTTGGAGTGGAAGCTATTACATGCATTGCAGATAGGCTTAAGCCAGCCTTCTGTTTTAACTGCTTTGAGTTTTAAATTCCAGTTGCTCTCAGGAGCTTGATTTCAGATGGTGATTTTCACAACCCTTTGTTGACTCTGAGCTGAAGGTGCCAGGAGAGCCCACCCAACGGAGGCTGCGGAGAAGTAGAGGCAGCGCTGCCTCCTTTCTCAGCTGTCTTTTGGGACCGCAGGGAATCCTGGGGACCAGATGTGCAGCAGGCATCGTGGGCACTTCTGCAGTGGGCCTGGGGCTTGTGCCGAGATAATTTCGTGTTTGTTTTATGGGTCCTTGGTAAGGTTTTGCGACAGGGGTCAGGTGGGTGGGCTTGGGTCAGCAGCAGTCAGCTTGCCCAGTCTGTAGTACTTCTGCCAATCTGGGCAAGAGTTTCTCTTTGCTTCCATCTCTCTTGGCATCCACTGTGGAGAAAACAGTTCATCAATACGCTTTATTTATGCATTTATTTATTTTTTAAAAAACCTTGACTGAAGGAGTCCTTTTTCCCCTTTGAGCTGGACCGAGGTTCGTATGGCGAAGTTGTCCAGGCGCCTGGCCCCGCTGTTGATTTTCATGAAGTCAGCAGTGTTCTTGTCCCTAGGTGCCGTCAGGTGGGTTCCAACCATAGCGCACTGTGTGCAACACCGCCCTCACACTTGTTCTGAGGGTTGAGCCCATGGTTGTGGCTACCGTGTCAGTCTGTCTTGTTCAAGGCCTTCCTCGCTTTTGCTGCCCCTCCACTTTGCCATGCCTGATGCCCTTCTCCAGGGACTGGTCTCTCGACAACATGTCCAGAGGATGTGAGAAGTCTCGCCGCCCTTGCTCTCAGGAGCATTCTGACTGTACTTCCTCCGAGACAGATTTGTTTGTCCTTTTGACGGTTCCTTCGCCAACGCCATAGTTCAATAGTATCAATTTTCCTCCTGTCTTCTTTACTCAGTATCCAGCTTTCACATGCATATGAGGCGATGGAAAATACCGTGGCTTGGGTCAACCATACCTTAGTTCTCACAGTGACGGCTTCGCTTTACAACACTTTAAATAGGCCTCGTGCGGCAGGTTTACTCGACGCATTGTGTCCTTGGAGCTCTGGACTGCTGCTTCCAGGAGCATTGATTGTGGATCCGAAGACGATGAAATCCCTGACAACTCCAATCATTTCTCTGATGATCCCGATGCTACTATTGGTCCAGTTGTGAGGATTTTGGTCTCCTTCACATTGAGTTGGAATCCATACTCCTTGATAAGCAAGGCTGTGTCCTCTGCATGTTGAAATTTGTTAATAAGCCTTCCTCCAATCCTGATGCCACATTCCTCTTCACATACTCCAGCAGCTCTGATGATTGGCTCAGCGTACAGATTGAATCAGTATGGTGACGGGACGCAGCCCCGATGCACACCTTTCCTGAGTTTAAACCATGCAGTATTCCCTTGTTCTGCTCCCACAACTGCCTCTTGATCCATGTACGGACCCACATAGGCTGAGATAGTTAGTTTGTTCTAACACATCGGCACAATGAAATGTTCTGGAATTCGCATGCTTCTCAAGGCTGTCCAGAGTTTGTTGTGTGATCCACATAGTTGAGATGTCTTTGCATCGTCAACGAGACTCAAGGAAACATCTGTTTGATCATCTGTTTTCAACCAAGATCCATCTGATGTCAGCAATGACCGCCTTGTTCCAAGGCCTCTTCTGAACTTCTTGTAGCTCCTTTTCAATTTACAGCTGCAGTGGTTGGATGATCTTCAGCAAGATCTTACTTGCATGTGCTATCAATGATAACGTTGCATAATCTATGCATTCTGTTGGAGCACCTTTCTTT